ATCGCAATTACCCCAACTATACGATGTTTATCTTGGAAACAATTTTATCGAGGTTTTTTCGGGGGGTATAATTACGGAATGAAAGCGGACAGGATATTTTGCGATTAACAGCAAACAGAAAACTGGAAATCGTATGTACTCTATACGATGTTTAAAAAGAAAGAAGCAGTAAAATATCATTTGTGTAACATCTGAAACTTATCCCCTGACAATCTGACAATCGAAGTCACATGTGATGTACAATGTCAAAGTACAAATGTTTTTCGATTTAGTCTTCACGAAATCTTTGTTCCTCATTCAATATAATTATTTTCAGGAGACGAATCCGGAATAGCTTAATTGTTTTTTGCGATTTCGGAGAATTAAATTCCTTGCAACCCCGCTTGTTCTACCACTGATCCTCGTTGAGGCTGTCAAACGCATGATTTAGGTCCAGAATTAGTTCTGTCCAGGTGTGTTTATCCAATATCGGTACGGTAAACACGCCGGGGATAAGCTGGCGGCACTTTTGAAGAGATCAGCATGAGTGAAACACACCGTTTAAGTGGCCTCCGTCTGACCATGGAAGACAGGGTTCACTCAGAACGCGAAAAATAATATTTGCGTTTGGTATAGAATCCATTCAGCTAAATTTTAGAGGCACCGCTCGCGATTTACTTTGAAAATATATTCAGATACTTTCCGTGGCGAGATAGGCACGTTTTGAGAATAAGGAAAGTGCGAATGGCAAAAACGCCTTCATTTCACAGCGGCCAGTGGCGCAGTTTGAGAGTACGTAAGGTTCTTTTCGAGGAGAAAGTTGAAATGCTGAAAAAAACCTCAAAACACAACTCGGAGGAAAAAATGTATGTCATGTCAATTGTTTTTTACGGTTCTTCTTTTTCTAATTCATACTTTTTGTAATTTCATTGCAATAAAAATATTATAAACAATGACTGCAAAACTATTTCTAGATGCCAAACATAACCGTTTGTGAGCTCCAAATCTATACGATTCTCTTGTTTTAATACCGATGAAACTGGAGACGTTATTTTCAACGAAGAACTATTGAATTTTTTTAGCTAGCGCTATTTACGTGTATATCACGCTTAAAGTATCTTTTTATAGTTTTCCACCTCTCTGGCCACACATTTTCCTCCGGTACCTATAAAGGGTGACTTTGAAGTTGAGTCATTAATTTTCAGATAATGATTGTAGAAGGAAGATAAACCAAAATATGTGTGTAAAAATAAAAAAAAATTAAAAAAAAATTTCACCTTGTTTTATAAAGTATCCTCCCGACAAGTATTTCAGTGCGGACTTGTATTTGATCGTGAGGTCTTGAAGCACCGGCATGCCGTACATATGTGAGGTCTTAAGTCAAATGATTCACGAACCCGTTGTACTACATTAACAAAGGCACGAGGGGTTGGTTGCACTCGATTGGGAAACCGATCCGCATAAACATGTGCCATTTTTTATTTCGTTTGAGCCACGCAACACACACCACTATCCACTACCGACTGACACTGACTGTATACAAGTGGATGAAATAATTGTAAAAACATCGTTCCAAAATCTTTCGCTTTTTTGTTTCCGATGCGATGAACCGATAAGGCGAATTATATCCGTTGTCGCCAAACACGAGCACATAATATTATTATTGAGACAGGGCGGTACTCAAACTTCTAAAGGGCTATAACTTTGTATAGGCTATGAAAATCCATCTGACCTTGTCAAATATGACATATGAAAACAATATAAGCTGTTTCTTTCAAGTTGACAACGAAAACCCTTATAACATAGTAGTGGTCAGGTTTTCAAACATATCCCTAAATTAGTTTCTGACGAAAATTGGGAAAATATGGTTAAATGTCGTTCTCATCAAAGAGACCGCCCGCGTTAATTGTTCAACAATAATCGAGACCCGCTTGGAGGCACCTGCTGCCATCTAGAAACTCGGGGAAACGCTGGAATATTTCTCGGCGCGTCGACAGGGACATAAATATCCGAGCACGTGGCGGAACGAGACAGTCATAATCGAGATACAGTCGAGCCAGTGGACAGCGAGCGTGGAGTTTAGATGGAATAACAATCTATAAATTTTTTACAAAATACTTGCGACTTTTATACAGGGTGACTTTGAAGTTGAGTCATTAATTTTCAGATAATGACTGTAGAAGGAAGATAAACCAAAATATGCGTGTAAAAATAAAAAAAACATTAAAAAAATGTTTACCTTGTTTTATAAAGTATCCTCCCGACAAGTATTTCAGTGCGGACCTGTATTTGATCGTGAGGTCTTGGAGCACCGGCATGCCGTCCATATGTGAGGTCTTAAGTCAAATGATTCACGAACCCGTTGTACTACATTAACAAAGGCACGAGGGGTTGGTTGCACTGGATTGGGAAACCGATCCGCATAAACATGTGCCATTTTTTATTTCGTTTGAGCCACGCAACAGACACCACTATTCACTACCGACTGACACTGACTGTATTGTATACAACTGAATGAAATAATTGTAAAAACATCGTTCCAAATCCTTTCGCTTTTTTGTTTCCGATGCGATGAACCGATACGGCGGATTATATCCGTTGTCGCCAAACATGAGCACATAATATTATTATTGAGACAGGGCGGTACTCAAACTTCCAAAGGGCTGTAACTTTGTTACTTTAATTTTACCAGAAAAATGGTAAAGGAAAAAAACATTTCTTTTGATCAGATCTACTCACTGTTAAAATAAATGACTCAACTTCGAAGTCACCCTGTATATTATAACTTTGTTTTCGTTACAGTAACAGAACACTGAAGATGTGGGAGCTGGATGTTATACGATGGCAACACCGTTGACGTTTGTCAGGTGGTTGCGTCGCCTACTTGCCTGGGGATCTGGAGTAACTATCGAAGGATGTCCGAGAATGCGGCTAAAATAAGTAATGCCAGGAATGCGCCGGCGATTGCGTTTGTTCTTAACTTGAAATCTGCTGAAAATGATATTGCCGATATTGAGGGATCGTATATTCGTAAAATGTCCCTGATAAGGGTAGTATCTCTTAGCAGCAGTTTTTCTGGTAAAAAATTTCAGAATAATAAAATGTAATGTACAAAATACATTTATTTTCAACAAATAATCACATGTGAATTAATTGTATTACAAGAAAATATAGCAATATTGCCAATACAGGCGTCTCACTTCGTTGAATCGCTTCTTGAATTCTGAAACGATACAGAAAAGGCCAATGTAATTTATACAATCTTTGTAAATCATCTTGGCGTTTCCAGTTCACCTATCAGACGTTTCATCCTACCGATTACAGTAGTTTATCTCAGGAACTTTGCGGTATTCTTTGTTCAAACTCCACAGAAACTTGCGTCGATGCCTTTACACTACTTTGGATGTATAAGAATTCCAGACATTTTTATAAATTGTAACCAAACGCAAGTAACACCATCGAGATTTTCAAAAAAGCAGCTCAATGTAAAATGGCAAACTATATTATTAGTACTAAAGATAAACGTTATACCAATTTACAAAATGCAAAATTACCACCCGACCACAGACCCCAAATCATCGAGATTGGTTACGTAACAACAAAATGCCCAGTGCCATGATCTCGTGATCACGATGATATTGATGATTATAATGACGGCTATACCCGGGACAAGACCCATATTGGTAATTTTCAATTATCAGGCACGTTTTCATCGGAAATTTCATAAATTTCCAGCGAAACGAGGCTCTCGTATTTGCGCAAGAAACGGTGACGGTCGATCGGTGGCAGGACGATGCTAATGATTGCGGACAGTGTTGCCAAATATCTTCATTTAGCACGAGATTTCATACTTTCACGTCAAATCCCGAACCAACGTATTTTAGAATTTTCTAAAAATTAGGAGAAAATATCTTCATTCAGCATGAGATTTCACACTTTCACGTCAAATCCCGAATCACCGTATTTAAGATTTTTTTTGAAATCATATACAAATATCGACAATCCTCATAGAACGTAGAGGACGGTGGCAATATTAGTAACTGGAAAACAAACTTTTCTTTATAACCATTGAGGACAGTATTCTCATTTGATGGATCAAAAAATACTGGTATAAAAAATAATTGGCATTTTCAATTCGACAAGGATGACATTTCCCGCATCTTCATAAAAATATAATATTCTGTTGCACGAAGTGGATATTGTGCAATATTGCTGTGATTAAACATTTATCCAAAATTTCATTTGATCAGAACATGGAAATAGAAATACATCTCCTGGTTACTATTTTTTTATTTGGTTTTGGTCCGATTTTTGAACTGTAGAACTAGGAAATGACTTCCCATTTAGATTGTTTCACAATCCCGATACCCTAGGGGCAAACGAGCGATCGTATCGGCCAGTTCTGGCTGTACGGTTAGGATTTCCAATCTTGGTCCGAGGGTTTGGCAACGCCGCGTGTTCGGTGAAAAAATGATATACATCGCGGGTATACAATAATGACATAATAGGGTATAATTGAGATGATTTTCTTTAATGACAACGGCCGAGTTGTGTCGTATTTACATGGTTATCGTATATTGCTCAGTATGTATATCGTTGTAGTCTGGTCGCGGAACAAGAGAGGGGAGGGCAGCTATTAAGTGAGATAATGGCTAAAAATGAGATTTTTAGATAGCTGATGTTCTCATGATTTTAAGTGAATACGTGCCAGGATCATCTTCTCCAGACATTTCTGAAGCTACTCATTATAAAATCTATAGCATACGCGCTATACTATACGTTGTATCTGTTTAAGGGTTGGTGCTATTTATCATTTTTTCTTTGAGAAAAAGAATAATGCTTTTTGACTGTATAAGAGATTTTTTAAGCAGCAAACGTTCCCAGCTAACGTGCTTCTATAGCTCTCCAGAGTGACCAAAACTATGATTCTAGTCCCATTAAAAAATGTGTATGATTGTTGAGTGACCCTTGACAAGTATCAAAAAGTCAGTAACCCAGATAAGATTTACAATTTTTTTTAGACTAAAGGGATTTTTTTCGCTCCGTCCATTAGCAGAAGAGTGCAACTATGCAACAACAACGATGGTAAACAGCTGGAGCACTTGACCATACATCAGTAAGTTGGAATCGCTCGAAAATCAAATAGGTTCTTCTTAGGACCGCACACCTCTTTTCAGAAAAAGAAGTCTGAGAATTTCAAAGCTGACTTTGAAGAATGTTTATGACATGGCATGCTAGATTTTATTATTATGCTTTTTTGAACAAAATAAAGAAAGATCTAAATAGGACTAGTGGGTAAAAAGTATTTCCCAAATTCTTTATATTCCAAAACCAACTGAGTTAAATAATAATGGGTTATACTAATTGAATTAAGTCTTCTTTCAAATATCAGGTCACACTTACGACTCCTATAGGTTATAAAAAGCGTAAAAATAAATTTACAAGTAAAATATCTTGGAATAGTGTTATATTGATACATTTTACATAACGATTTATAGCTTTAATTTTTTTTATCTAGTAGTACGTGAACATTGTAATTAAAGCATATATTTTATTATATCTTCATTTTCGAATACAGCCATTGATCTGCGATTTCTGTCATTCTGTAGGATTGCGTATGGTGTTTACAAGAAATGTTAAAAAAAGTATACGGCAGTAAAATTTTCCAAAAAAATCAAAAAGTTAGTGACACATCCATAAAACGCTATCTAGTGGCCACAAAGTGAACTAATTTGACAAGATTGTGCCGTGAATCGGAGCGCAGGTGCAAGTTCTTTCGAATGGAACCCAGATCGTGAAAATAGGTGCAGCCAATCAGAAGTTATATTCTTTTTTCTGAAATGACATTAAACCTTCCTCCACCATAAACGAAACAAAATATGGAAACATGCCATTGATAAAAAAATTCGAAAATTGAGCGTAATGGTTTTATTAAATCAGTACATTAGTGGCACATTTTTGCAAAATAATGGCGTTTGAAATTTTTAAATCAAAAATACGTCCATTTTAGGAAGCCGAAAACAATTTCCAGCAATTTCCATTGTTCACTTTTTTATGAAGTTTTTTAACGTTGCCGAGATACATCCGGCGTTCTCAAGCAACTTCTACAAGCCTCATATAAGCATTAGGTACCCCTTTTATATATATTTTTTTCAAAATGAAATCGGTACATTTAAACCAATAAAGTTGGGTCAACTTTTTATAACTCTGTGTACGGCATGACGCGCTGTTTCGCGCCTAGCCAGTGCCTCGAGATTAAATTAAAATATTTAACAGCAGCATCTGTACTCGTATGAAGCAGTTGTAACCTGTGCCTCACGGCTGACAAAGTTCCTCGTTGCCATTTACAACAAAACCAAAACGAAGACTTCGAATGGGGATGCTGCAGCGTTTTGTGCACGGTTCGCATCACATACACAATGGCGTAACAAACAGCTCTAATGTAGGAAATAGCAACCAGAGAAACTTCGAAAACGGTAACATTATTCGTGGGGCATAATTTCAAGAGAAATATTTGTTATTTATTCGATAATTCCTCTAAACCAATCGATCCGGCACTCACACTTCAGCCGTTATGGAAGCTCCGATTATTTAATTGCAAAGTGTATGGTTGTCATTCGTTCATTTAGATGAAATTATAGTGATGTCACATCACATTTTCAACGGGACACTCCTGAGGGTCTATTTGGATAACCTAAATCTCATCAACTTCATCGACAAACTATATAGATGCAATCAAGATGCTTTAATCGTTCCTAAGTATAGAAAACCTATTGGAAGTTCACTATGCAATAGTTCAATCAGTGATATCTTATGGTATCTATGTGAAAAGAATCAGAATCATTTAAAGTCTTCAGTATTTGGAATCATGCCGGGGAACCTTCAGGAAAGAAAAACTACTGACTGTAACTTCATTCTACCTTTTGAAACTGTAACTTACATACACTCTTATCACCTATAAAGACGACACACGGCAAAAAGGTAAAAATGTATCTCATGCCTCATATAAAAAATCACCTGAATATGCTGCTTGCTACCATCAGACATAAAAAGGTATCGACAACTAAAAAATGTATGCAACGTTAAAACAGCTTCTGCTCACAAACTACTTCAGCATAAAAGAATGCAGAACCCTGGATCATCCTAAACATTATATTCATTTTAAGGTGTTCTCTGTGTTTTTTCCAATGTAAGAGTAAATGTGAGATATTTTTATTACTGTTTTCAATGTAACAGAATTATCTCTTATTATGAAAGATGTTAGTTTTGTGATATATTGTGATTTACGAGGACATAATGTCAAAGTTTTATATTTGTCTTTGTTTACCCTTGTCTTATCTTTTGTGAAGAAAGCAGTCTCTGAGAGCTGATATGTCAAAAATGAGAATTTGAAACTTTTCAAAGTTCCGCCGCTGTCGTCGCGTGTTCCCGGTATCGTCCATCGCTGTGCAGCTCTTGTATCCGAATAATTAAAACAAAATTTACTACGCAAATTTCATCGAAACGCGAATTATTGGTAGTCGAACGAAAGTGTAACCTTTTGTTATCAATATTTCATGTCGAACGTGCTAGCTGCGTTTGCTACCCACCCCCCGCCCTCACCCTTCGGCTGTCAGCGGCGAATATGAATTATGACGGGCGGTTAGTTTGTAACTAACCGGAAATTTATTCGTCAACATTCCGGAAAACGTCGAGTAGCGATTTGCATAGAATATTGTCAATAGAGGACCGACTGTTTTTAAAAATGAAAACTTCGCTGTGGATTTTCTTGAACTCCTGTAGCTGCGAAAGCGAAGTCGTAACACATAAACACACGTCCGATCTTGCTGCGAACTGTCTATCCATTACGGTAAAATACGACCTGATTATCTAGTAGTATTCCAAAATTCCCCATATCGATAAGTGACACACAATTCAGACTGATCGGTCAACGCCAAGTAGACAGAGCTGTATCTTGTTGTTTTTTTACGCCTCGGATTGTACTTTTTTTTATACTCCAACCATCACGAAGGCCTAAGGCCTAAACACCCATGGGGTACCGTGGGGCTATAAGGGACTACAGGGGAAAGGGGGAACGCCACACCTGATAAGAACCTTTATTTATATTGTGACACCACTGTTGGACGTTAGTTTGTTTACATAGTGCTCTGTGGTTCAACCAAATTTTCTATTATTTCTTGTTCGAAAAATATGTAGAAGTGTTAATAAGCAGACAAGGCGAGTCCTGAATTAGTTTCTGTTCTGCTGATTTTTGAGATTAAGCAAATTTGAACTCAATTTCTTTGGCGCGCTCCTCGTTGGACTTTAAACCTTATTCAACCACAGAATTTGACCTTCGACTGTACGGATGTTGCCAAGATGCGAGTTGTTTTGAAATTGTCGAATTAACCAGCTCAAAAATTCCTGAAACCATCAGTAACTCAGGCGATATAAGAAGAGGTATCACCTCCTCCACTAGCATACCTGTAAGATTCATAGTGGTCTTCCTAGCAGCACACATTTGACCTCCATTTGACCTTTGGTGGTTAGTGTAATCTTAAGTTCGTATTTGAAGGTAGAATTTTCCGCTCCTTCGAAGGGCACCACGAAAAATAGCGATTTACATCAAAAAAATGAAGATGACCTTGAAGGTGAGGATCAAGGGCAAATCCAAGATCATCGTTCACTCGCTAATTAAAATTTACCAAAGACCTGACCTTAATAGTTGTTTTCATTACTAATCCTATGAGATTTATAGAGGTTTTCCTAGCAGCACACATTTGACCTTTAGATGGCACCCTGACCTTCAATACTTATTTGAACGAAACACTTCCCGCTCCTTCGATTGCCGGCATTAAAAATAAGGATTTACATGAAAAAAAATATAAGTAGTTGACTTTGAAATAACCTTGAATGTGGAAGTCAAGGTCAAATCAAAGGTCAGTGTTCACTCGATCGTTAAAATTTACCAAAGACCTGGCTTTGATAGTCATTTTCATCGCTCATCTTTTGAGATTTTTCCTAGCACCACACATTTGATCTTCATTTGACCTTTATTAGTTATCCTGACCTTGGTCCTTAACCGTGTTTAGACGCAGAATTTTCTGATCTTTCGATTACAGGCTTCAAAAATAGGAGTTCCTATTTGAAAAAATTAAGTTGAGCAAGAATTAACCTCGAAGGTGAAGGTCAAGGTCATCGTTGAATTCCTTACTGAAAGTTAGTGAAGACCTGACCTTGATGTTTTCCAAAAATACCTTATCCGTGAAAATACATAGCCATTCCGGGACTTTTATGTAACGCTGTATTATTTTTACAAATAAAATTACACCTACTGGAAAGGACAACACTATTGACTTACCTCGTAATCAATAAATCCCAGATGTACTATAATAATTTTTATTAAGCATTTTTATGTGTACTTCGTATATTTTATTGTCAAAATTCCCAGTCACTAAAAGTATCCAGGTATGTGATGTGCCTGTGATTGACAATTGAAAAGACGGCAACTTGCTCGGTTTTGAAAATTGAAGAGCGGGGTAGCGTCAAATAATTCCATTCTTGTGTTTCGTTTTATCAGTAGGTAATATACTATTTCAGAATTCGAGAAACTTTTCGGAAGAGGTCGCCTTAAAATCATTAGTTCGGTAGATTAGGACTGAAGCCTACCGAAAAACTGGTAGACCGGGCAACACTGTATGGCACCTGCCCTTTGAAACTCCTGAAATTAAAGCATCACTTCTGACAGTCACCTTGTTCAGCAACTTCTATGGGTTGTAATTAAACGTGTAATTGCCACTCGCAGTCAGATTTCGTTAGTGTCTAGTCTTAATCCAGGAGCTGAATCTCAAACGGCGACAAGCGCAAATATAAATTGAAAATTCAGAACAACCTACGTTCTTCTGTAAGATTGAGTCGAGCCAGTTAAGGAAAGCATGTAAATGTGTACAGATATTTACTAAAAAACTCGTTGAATAAGTAATTATCTATTATGTCATTAAGTTGTTCAACGGATATTTTTGTTTCGAGAAAGCCATCATAAAAACTCCCGTTTCGAGCTGCTGAACCAAAATTGTGATGGATAACCCTAGTAAAAATGTCATCTTACGCTTTATACTTTATTAGCGCAATAATCTG